TTTCTCAGAAATAACCCCGGTGGCGTCCATTGGGTTGACCCTCCGGCAAGTGAGCCTGGAGTTGCCGTCTTAAAGCGCCAAGTCTGTATGAATGTCGGGTTTTCAACCTCTCTTTCGCTTCCAGATCGGCCGGCCGGAGATGCTCAGAGCGGCCCGGGCTCGGCGGAGGGGCTCGGCCAGCGTGCGAGTGTGAGCGGCTCCGGGGCAGCCGCCGCTTCTGCCTGGAGGGCCACCCTCTCCCTGTCCGCCTGTCACCTCGCCGCCTCGAGGGAGGGAAGACAGGGCGGCTCGCGGCTCCCCAGCGCCGCTGCCGGCGGTCGAAGCTCCTTTGCCCCTGCCTGGCGAGTCCCCCGTTCCCGCAGCCGAAGGATGCAGTTTCGCCTCTTCTCCTTTGCCTTGATCGTCCTGAACTGCATGGATTACAGCCATTGCCAAGGCGGCCGGTTGAGACGCGGCAAAAGAGGTGAGCCTTCTCGTCCCACCTCTTCCTCTATCGCTGCCCTCCTCCGCCTTTCCGCGTCGGCAGCAGCGCCTGCCTTGGACCCGTTTGTCTCCCGTGCCGGGACCCCGTTTAACTGGGAAGAGTGCGTGGCCGCCCCTCTTTAAGCTTTGATGTGATTTACAGTTTGGGTAGGCTGGGTGGGGAGCGAAGAAGGCTCATGGAAGTTCCGTTTTTCTCTTTCCTGGGGAAGGAGACTCTCCACCCCAGCCCCTTCCTTTTAAAGCTGTCCCCACAAAAGAGGGAGACCCCCAGACAGGTCGAGTTTGTGCAACACACTCTGCTTGGCTACAGTTAATTCCGGTTTCAGATTCTTTGTGGATGAGCCGCAAAAGGGTACTGTGTGCATCCAGGAAATGTGGAGGGAAGGTATTCTACACATCCTTAACTGCTTTTGGTCCATTCCTCATCTGATTCCGCTATAGCAGTCCTAATCTCACCTGCTCAGTCTCAAGCATGTATGGTTTGGTCCTGCACAAACGACCCTCAGTTCAGCCTGCTTTGCAGCCAAGCAGGTGCATGTAGGGTTACAGCCTAGCTCTGTCCCCCCCAAATTGGGATCGCAGGTAAAGAGTATGTTTGCCAGTGGAATGGAATGATCACCCCCTGCATTTGACCTGTGGTAATTGCAGACATGTACTTGCAGAATAATTATTTTTGCCCCCCCTTCCCTTTGATGCTCCTTGATCCTTTTGATGTTTGTGTACCGAAAACTGAAATATAGTATAATTGCTGCATCTGATAGTGCATGTGGAATTACAGGGTGACAAGGATTCCAAGTAAATTTGCATGGAATGCAGGATGTGACCTTTATCATGAGGAAAGTGCAGGGCCCACACAGAGGAATTGGAAGCCGGTTGCTGATAATGATTTTGCCCAAAGTTACCTTAGTTGAATATTCCTACCTTCTGTTGGGAAGAACTGAGAGAGGAGAAGGTCAGTGAGAATCCTGGATTAAGCTGTAAAATGTTCTGTATTTTTATACACCTATAAAAAAAAATAGAAGGCTTTAGATATGAAAGTACCATTATAGGGTGCTCCATTAAGAGCTAATTTGTAATATACGAAGAGCATGTTCACGATGCCAGGCATCAATTCTGCTGTTAAAACCAAGACCTCTTGCAGGTTTTTTTTTAGCGGTCCTACTGATAGTTGATTCTGGGTTATGTAAGCAGAAGATGGTCAAATTAGTATTTGGCTTGCGTCAAAATGCTGAACAAAGAGAGCAAATCCTCTAAGAAAGGTAGAAATAGTGACTGTTGCCTAAGGCAGACATTGCAGCTGACTATGGTGTGTGTTGATTTTTGCCTTCTTGCTTCTCAGCTGGATTTATAATTTCCTATTAAACATTAAGAGCTCCAATCAAATGAGCCAGCTAGTTGGATACAACATCTACAGTTGATCCTACCTGTAAGCCAGTCGCTAGCATTTACTTCCTCATTTGCCAAATCCAAGTTGAGTGTGTATTCACTGTTCTGTTTTTCTGTTACTCAAGAACCCAGTCCTTTGCTATCCATGAAGTCACTTTTCCTTCAGGACCAGCTGGCTAGCAGTTCATTATTTTATCATTCCTATCTCCTTACACTGTGTCCTATGGTTTGACTCACTTCCCCAAACCATTGGGTTTGTTTTACTAAACCAACTTGGTGCGGGGGGGGGGGGGGTCTAATAACTCAAGTTAGTCATTTATGGCATAGTAACAGCAGACAATAAAATTGGCAGACGACTTTTCTGTAATGGTCCCTTTCACCTCCATCCATATAGTTGGCTAGAGGTAGTTTTGAATGTGCATAGAAGACTATGCAAGTAGATGTCAAAAAAGTGACATTAGATCACTGCAGAACAAAATTCTTTTTTTTTTCTCTGCCAGTTCCCTTTCTATTTCCTAAAGGAGAATTTAGTATCAAAATTTATAACTAAAAGAGAAAAGAATGTTAGTGGAATGTTCATGGAATAGGGTGGCGTTTTTGCACTGATGGAATCATAACGTGGTCCAAGGGTATGTGTGAATAGCCTGTTTTTGCAGTACAACCCCCTCTCTGCTGTCCTGCAGATTACCTGTCATCTCACACTTCAGTTAAACTCCTGGGGGGGGAAGGTACATGAAGGAATCATGGAGAGCCAGGGAGGCTTCAAAGTGATGTGCAAAAGAGAAGCCGCAGTAGTGTCATCTGCCAGGTTCAGCAGTCAAATAAGCTCAGACGCATCAGCAAGATATCATGGAGAAAAGTTCTCAAGTACCTTAATCGGTAGCAAAACAGAAACTTTTCCTGGTGCAGGGGTGAGGGAGAGTTTTTAAAAAATTGCAAGACAAATTTCAGTATATCATTAAATAAAAATAATTCTCTGAAGGTATTTTTGACTAAAGATAGTTTTTGTTTTTTGCTGTTTAAACATTGAACTGGTGTGGGTTGGGAGAGAAAAGGAAGTGCTGAGTTACTTACGGGTTTCTTTGTTTTTTTTTTCATGGACAGATGTGTTAGCTGTCCTTGGAGTGGGAAACATCCATCTCTTCACAGGAAAGATGTATCAGCTAATACATTGCAAAATGTGAAACAGAAAGTATGAGTTTCTTAACATTTCCCATTCTCCTTTATATCACCCACACTGATCATAATATTGGAGGCTACTTCATGATGGGGATATGATGAATACTTACAAGATCCTGTTCTGGAACAGGAAGGACATTCATGAGGATTATTTGTCAGAGGCCTTTGGAGTCCTGTAGTAAGAGTCCATATAGGCTGCAATCTGTTGCATTTTTTCCTTCAATTTAGCAGCTTCCTAGATACATTGGAATTCTAACCCCATAATTTCCAGATTGACTGGCCAGAAGAAACTGAAAGTACTCTATACATGAAATACATCATAAAGGGGGAGGCTGTTACATATATATTTTTCTTGGAACCGAGTCTCAGAGAATTCAGTAGACTTATTTCTGATTAAACATATCCAAGATTATGGTGTTGATATTTCTAAGATAATAAAGCCACGGTATCCAAGCCCTTTCTATGATGAGTTGCCTAACTGATGAGATTATTTGTTGTTGTTGACATTAGGCTGTTTGGAAGGTCATCTCTGTTTTTATTCTAAGAAGACTAATTTGTTCCTTTGTGTATTTATTCATTTATTGCTGCAATGCTTCCTATGTTGTAGAGGATATACCGCTCACACCCAAACTTTGACTACAATTGGGCACCTGCCATTTTCATCCTGTGTGTCACTGGAAATGGAAATCATGTACTCCAAGGATTTGCTGGACTAACTTCTCATGTAAAAATGAGGCCAAATAATTGTTAAATAAAATTTTATTCTAAAATTGTAGTACGTATGGATTATGAACATTGATCTCACAACAGTATATAATAAGTTGAAGGCTATTCATTCATTTTTCTTGATTAATTTTGGGCCTCATAATGTTATGGTTTGATTAAGCCTTTGATTACATTTCTTGACTTTGATTAAATTTGAGGGCAGACGCCATGAAAGCCTGTTTCAAATCTTGGTCAATTCTTCATTAGTTCAGTTGTTTTGTGCCAAGGTGTGAGCATGAGGCTAATTGCTTTGTAACTATCATGGGCCAATTTAGATGAGAATCTTCCACATGGAGGCCCCTGGTAGAGGTAGCTGCAAAGAGGAGTTCATGATCTTCTTAGGTCTTCTTGACTATTGATGCTACATTACTATGAAGTAGAAAAATGTGTCTGGTTAGTCTCTGGGACGTCATAACTAAAGTTGTGGTAAGACTGTGTTGTTACCATCATTCTGTTTAGATGGTCTGAACAAGGCTTGCATTTGTTCAGATAATTGTTCAAATAAACCTTGCTTAGCAGAATATTGGAATGCTAGAAATGACATAAGATGACTTAAACACTGTTTTGTTAGAATCACATTACTCAATAGTGCAATGAGCTGAGAGTTCAGTTTAAAATAGATATTCATAGAAGCAAGCTAATCTTACGGCACAATGCCATTGACATTTTAATGTTTCACTTAGTAATCTATTTTTGTCAACGAAAAATTGCAGCTGGTGGAACTGGCTGAACATTACTACAAATTTGTGTGGATAATAATGTTATACTTTTTATTTCAGTTGATCTTGGAAAGGGTTTGTAGAGACTATACATTCAACTTCTTACTTCATAAAGGAAATCTTGATTAAAATATAGTGGGCATATAGTCCACTAATATATTTTTTTTGTTAGGGTATTTTCAAAGCTTTTCAGGACAGTTTTAAAACCAGATTGCTTTTTTACTTAACATGAATTTCTCCAACTTTATGTCCTCAAGGTTTATTAGAGTATGACTTCCATCATCTCTAGCATGGCTAATGAGATGTAAATTATGTAGATTTTTTTCCCTTTAGAAATGCTAGAAGAGAATATATGTAGCTCATGGTTGAACTGCGAGTCCTTGGTGTTCTCTGAACTTGGTTGTTTTCTTGCAGATATTTCGTTACCTGACTAAGTAGCATCTTCAGTGCTGCTTCAATATCTTCAGAGTACTGAAGATGTTACTTACTTGGGTAATGCAACGTCTGCAAGAAAACAACCAAGCTCAGAGAACACCACAGTTCACTTATTTGGTGTCATTTTGTAGTGTCAGTCTGGGCACTTGTTACGTTGAAGTATGTTAAAATATGATGTGTTTAGCTAATTTAAAGAAATGTGCTTGAGGATGTTCATGGCTAATTTGGCCATATAGCTGGAGTTGTGTGCAAATCCTAAAATGCAGGATTAAGATTCCTGTAAAAAAATTCCCCATCATGTACATACACACGTACAAATGCCCCATCTGCGAAGAATCAGATACTCACTGTGGGGTACTGGCAGTTAGAACTACCCTGGCATACCATTGGGTCTTGTGGAGGATTTCAGATACTCCATAATGCCACTTTCTAAATGAAATAACATTCCTGGCATAGGGTAGCTCCTTGGAAGGGTTTCATCCAATAGAGAAGGGCA